TTGTCACTGCCTGTCACACTCAGCCTAGACTACAGCTAGCCCTGATCATTTAACTAGCTTAGTCAGTCAACAGTTCAGAAAAGATGTGTCAACTCATCCAAATTTGGGTGACCAGACTTATCTGCATGCCACAGACCAGCTGCTGCCCTGAGCTCTCCGGGCCAGGCATGGGTGTGCAAACTGTGCAGTCAGAGCCCTGCACCCAGAAGAGCCCCCTCTCGTGCCTGGATGTTCTGCTGTCACCATCATGAACCTTAACAATTTTTGAATGAGGGGTCGTTCAAGACTAGGCCCCGCAAAGTGTGTAGCTAGTCCTGCTTCAGAGCCGCTTAGCACAGGTTCTCAGGTGACTGGAGAGGTCCATTTCCATAAAACAAGGGACTGGCCAGCCATGGAGCCCCTCCAAAGGGGTTATTCTAGTTCCTAGGTCTAGAATAACCAAGTCAGAGCCACTTGCTAATGGAGCCTTCAACAGCTTGGGCACCTGCCCCCCCTGTTTCAATGATGGGCAGCCCACCTTGGCCAAAGCAGGTTCATCTCAGGTAACCGTGGAATCAGTGGTAACAAGAGGGGCCAGGGACAAAGGCGCGGGACCCCGTCTGTCCTTATAGTGTTACTATCAGTGACCTGTCCAGAGCGCGACAAGACCCAACAACCCTTTGCGTCGCTGTGGCAGGACCTCGAGAGGAACAAAGGTGGTGTGGGCAGGACGGTGCCTCAGTGGCTTGGTGGATCTAACCCCAACCCGGACCAGTCACCCTGGGCTCTGGCCAGCCAGACTAACTGAGAACAGCCATTCCCAGCTGTGCTCTGGGATCTGAAAGGCCCTTCCTTTCCTGCGAAGCCTTTTTGGGGTTTCGAGAAGGAAGTGGAGACAGAGAGAGGAAACCGCAAACACTTAAAACTCTAATAGCAGTATCGCCTCCTGGTCCATGCCCCGCCCCGCCCCGCATGAGGGGCTCCGAGCGCTGCCTTTGTTCTGAAGCCACCCCGGGAGAGGGGCGTGTTGTCCTCCAACCTGTGACACCACAGCAGCTCTGCTCTGAGGGATGAGGCCAGGGCCTGAGACCAGCAGCAAGGCTGGGACGCCGACGCGGGTCTCTTCCCCCGGAACCTTAGGCCGCGCTGATTTCCACAGCGTCTGGACCAGAGGAGCCAGCGGCTGCGGCTGCTCTGCTGACAAAGATTTCCCTGTTGAGGACACTGGTGGGGCCATGGCCCAGCCAGCTCATCTGTCCCTGGGAACATTCTCTTACAGAGAAACCCAACGAGGAAGAGAAAGCTGGAGCAGGACTGTCAACTTCTTTGTTTCTAAAAATAACTTTGTAAAAGGATGGAAGGACCCAAGCACTGTGCTTATTATAATCAAAGAGTTAAAGTTCTCCGCTCAGAGGAAACTTAAATGTTGGCCGTCTCCTTTTCCTGTCTGAGTCCCAAACGCTGCCTCCAGACTTTGCATTCTGAAGGCTAAATTTAAAGCCAGAATGAATCCCCACGTTGTGCTGTGCCTGTCACCTACCCCCTTGCCCTAGCCAGGAAGGCTGGTGACAGAGCCGGTCCCTGCTGCCCCCGGCTGAGCTGGCAACACCTGAAGGGCCCTCAGATGCAGGCTTGAGTTCTTTGCCTCTTTTGTCACTGTGGTGACCACCCTGGGAGCTGATTATACCCCCCTAAACCTTCTGGGAACACTTAAGGCCCAGGCCCTGCAAAAGGATTAAGACAACTGAGAAGAGACATGTTTTTTCAATTAGTGAGAAACCACCCATGTTGGAACTTTCGCAAAACTGGCCGCTTGTTTTCCTATTACCCAAGGTTTCTCATTCTTTCTTTCTCCATTAATAAGTTCACAGGGTTTTCAAGCAAATTGGGTACCAAAGGCTCATAACCATGAAATAAACAGGATGCTTCTGGCAAAATGCCTCTACCAGAATGCTAACACCAAGGGTCTCATCTTCTGTGAGCCATGCAATGAGGGGGTGGATAGAAATTAACTTCGACCTACCAAACACTGCTGACCTCGGGCTCATTCACAAACACCAATGAGTGCAAGTATGTTTATGTTGCAATTGGATATACATTTTACTACATGCATACATTTTTTTAAAGAATTTTTTCCCACTGACGTTTCTTTCCCATGCCAAGTCTGGTCCAGCCTGCCAAAGTGGGGAGACCAAGATCCCAATACAGTGAGCTCATGCTTCTTCAAGAGCCTTATCATGAGCCAGAAAGGCAGAGAATGTGGGAAAGGTCGGGGAAACGCCGTTCTCACGACTGCGAAGACAAAGCTGGGCAGCTCCGGCAGCAGGGACGTGAGAAGAGCATCAACCTGTCGGATACAGTCCACACGACGAGCTTAACAAGGTCATCCCTATTCCCATTTTGCAGATGAGCAAACAGCCGTTTTCTCATGAATAGACTGGGGATTAGGGGTTTGGGAGAGGTAGATCACAGAGGTAAAGTGCCATTCTCATCACATCATATGAAGGGCACGCACTATCCATGTGACTTATCACTGTTGATGTTGACCGGGATCACCTGAGCGAGGTGTGTTTGCCAGGTATCTAGCTCCATCGTCAAGTTACTCTCCTCACTTCGCCTTTCCACAGTGTCTTCTTTGGAGGGAAGTCACCATGCACAGCCCATGTTTCAGAAGCAGAGGCATCCTGGATTTTTATTTACCAGATCTGGCAACCCTAACAGTGGGTCAAATTCTCAATAGCTACACAAGGTTAGTGGCTACTGTTACGGACAGTGCAACCATCTTCTAGCACAGCGATTTTCAACCAGTGTGCTGCAAGAATTTTTTAAAAAATGCAATATGTGACTATTTAGTCAGGAGCACTGACCTCTTTTCCCTTAGATTGTCTAATTTTAAAAAATGACAACAGCCAACACAGTAATAGCTGTCTGGTGTGAATGCTGTCTTGAACCATAAATATATAGGTCACATAATAGAATTTCATCTTACTGGTCACATACCACCCATACTATTATTCATTTAATATGTTTCTTTAAGTTGACTCACTTAAAAACAAACAAACAAACAACCTTGGCCGGTGCTCAGTGGTTAGAGCCTCGGCCTGCCGACCACAGAGTCGCGAGTTTGATTCCGGCCACGGGCATGTACCTTGGTTGCGGTTCATCCCGGGCCCTGGTCGGGGTTGTGTGGGAGGCAATCAATTGATGTGTCTCTCTCACATCTATGTTTCTCTCTCTCCCTCTCTCCCTCCCTCCCCACTCTAGCTGAAGATAAATGGAAAAATGTCTCCAGGTGAGGAATAAAAAACAAACAAAAACCTGATGTCACTACCTTGCGTTGCCCTTAGCAGCAGCCCAAGCACCAAGGAGGGCCGACGATGTCCCAGAACAGCCAGTGGGTGGTCTAGTCCAGTTCCCTTGTATGAGCTTTTTCCATCCTTTGTTTCTCCTCCTCTTGAGAAGCCAGGAGACAAGTGGCCCCCTTGGTCCTGGTCCTAAGGGCCCCTGAGTCCTTCATTTGTCCTTCCTCTAGCTAAGGCCCAGCTCCTCTGAACTTCAGGGCCCCCATCAGAGGAAGCAAAGGGCTCGGCAGTCAACCAGTGCCAGACAGCTCTGACTCCAGGCCAGATGCTTCCGGGCCAGGAAAATGTAGGCAAGTGGCTGCTACACCTGGCTGGTTATAAGATTCACCCGGAGAGCTTTCTAAACACTTAGATTAGGATTGAGACAAAGTCAAGGCACCGCAGGTGGGGCTGTAAATGAGCCACACCTGACAGTTCTGGGGCCCACGCAGGAGGCCCAGCTGGGCTCAGCAGTACTCTGGGAGAGTCTCTGCGCCCACAGGCAGCACAGTTGTGCAGTGGAAGACCTGAGTCTGACCTACTTTCTAAAACAGGCTGTAAATATACAATGAAAACTCTGGCTCCGCTCTTTCCTCAACTCAACGGATACAGATTTAGGTGCTAACAGACTGGTCTGAGAAACGCCTTTCCTTTTCTGGTTTGCCAAGGGGGAAGGGAAACTTAATAGTGTGGTATTTCCAGGTGCTCGAGCCTCATTGTTTCTTCCTCTTCATCTTTTTTGCCCATGTCATGTCTCCGGTCTCTTGGATCAGGGACAGAACTAGACTCTCTCCCCACTGGGTTGCCACTATTGTATTTTGGTGACAAATTAAGTTATTTCTTGAGTTCCAGAGGTTCATAGATGGATTATACCAAGAGCCACCCCCTACCAGATATAAATGATTTAGATGAGGAGATACTGTAAAAGGGATGAGAACTTTGGGGCCATGGAACCTGCATCTTTAGGGACCAGAGGGCAGGCTGGGTAGGTAGAATGCTTCTCCCTAAAGATGGCCACATCCTAATCCCTGGAACCTATGAATATGTTAACTTATGCAGCACAAGGGACGTTGTAAATGTGATTAGACAGATTAAGGGCCTTGAGCTGGGGAGATTATCCTTGTGAGCTCAATCTAATCGTGAGTCCTTAAAAGCAGAGATCAGGCAGTACAGGAGAGATGAGGCTGAGTGGGTGGTCAGAGAGATTTGAAGGGTAAGAAGACACTGTGTTTCACAGGGATCAGCCATGTTTCTTTTGTTTGCCATGTGTGTCCCCAGAGCCTGGAACCCAGCAGGTGCTGAGGAAGTGCTTGGTGACAGAAAGACCAATTAAGTGACAATTTTTGAGCACCTAAGACTGCCTGGATTCCAGTTAACAGCCACGTGGATGAGCTGCTGCACCTCTCTGACTCCAAGTCATCCCTTCGCTACAGGTGACAGAAATGAGGCTCTGCGAGGGGAAGCGATTCCGCTAAGGTCATCCCGTTAATAAACAGTAGGGCTGGGGCTCAAAACAGGACCATCTAGTTGCCAAATCCAACACCCCTCTGGGTGGACAGCTGTGAGCTATGGCTCCGTTTGTTCCTTTGCTTCCTTCTGTGGTCACGGCTGTCACCCCATTTTGGACGGCACAGGCCAGCAGGGGGTGCTAGCATCTAAATGTAAAGACCATGAGCTCCCACGGAGGACTAAGGAGGCTAAGTCTGATGAAGCAAGACTCTACAGTACAAAGCTCTTAGAAAAAAGGGTTGGAGAGAGCGGCTTTCATTGGAGAATATCACATGGCTGACTGTAGTACCCAACATTCTTAAAAAAAAAACAACCACCATGAGCCCTCGTCAGTTTGGCTCAGTGGTTTGAGCAATGGTCCTCAGACCAGAGTCTCAGGTTTGATTCCAGTTAAGGGCACATACCTCAGTTGCAGTTCAGTCCCTGGCCCTGGGGTTGTGCGGAGGCAACCGATCGGTGTGTCTCTCACATTGATGTTTCTCTCCCTCCCTCCCTCCCTCACTCCTTCCCACTCCATCTGAAAATCAATGGAAAAATATCCTGGGGTGAGGACTTTTAAAACACACACACACACACACACACACACACACACACACACACACGTGCACGCGCGCATTAGAAAAAAAGACCATGAGCTCCCAGAGCGGGTCTGAGGAGTTTCTTCATTAGGAGAAATCTCAGACTGAAGGCCCTGGCCACCTCCCCTACAACATGGGACACCAGCTGGCCTGAGACCTGTCTCTGCTACAGCCTGCTAGCCAGATGTTCTTGGGCAAAGGACTTCCATTCCCTTGGATGCAGTTTTTATAGTCACAGGGGCAATGACACAGTAAAATAAAGTAACACAGGGGAGAGCTTCTAGCAGTCCCTGGCACATAACTCTTGGTTGAATTTGCATTCTTTATCCAGAGATGGTTAATGATTTTTATAGGACTAGAATTCTTTGTTTTCTGACTCAGCTATCTCTTTCCTTTTCCTCCAGACTTTTCTGTCTTGACCAAGTCATTCTTATCTGTTCAGAACATTCTAAAATATTCTAGTAAGCACCCTCAGCCCAGTTACAAATTACCTCAGGGTGCTTGATTTAAAAGGTACACTCAGGCCCAGCCGATGTGGCTCACTGGTTGAGCGTCGACCCGTGCACCAAGAGGTCGCCGGTTCAATTCCCAATCAGGGCATGTGACCAGGTGTGGGCCCAATCCCCAGTGTGGGGCATGCAGGAGGTGGCCAATTGATGTTCTCTCTCATCGATGTTTCTATCTCTCCCATCCTCTCTCTCTAAAAATCAATAAAGAAAAAAAATTGAAAAAAAAAAGGTACACTCAGGCATGACCCGTAAGTGTTCCTTTCATTTAAAAACTATTGTGTGCCAAGTATAAATTCAACAACATTGTTCCTTTGCTTATATACTTCTTCTGTCTTCCTACCTAAAAACCAGCCATTCACTGAAGATTTCCTCACTGCCCATATGTCACACAAGGCCTGATGCTGGGTGGAGACAGAGAGATACGACACAATCACACCACTGGAGGCCCCTTCAATGCAGACAGAGAATGTGCCTATCCACAGAGATGTGCACTGAGAAGGGGGCCCTAATGCGGTTTCCATGAACCTACCAGGTACCATGCTGTGGACAAATTATTCCACTTCACAGACTGACCTTCAAGCCCAAGTGCAGGACCAGGACTGGAGTCCAGGTGTGGCTAAGTCTCTCCTTTATCTCAAGCAGGTAGGGCCCCTAAAAGATGTGCTTTTGCACAAGCTCCAAGATGTCTGCTAAATGTAGGTCACTATGGCTGAAAATGCATTTCCCCCCTTATTCTTGCAAACAGGCAACTGTTCAAGGAGTTTAGATGATGGCCTGAGGTTTAGCAACACCAGCCTAGGCAACATGTGACATTTGGCAGCCTGACAGATCTCAGGACCACGCCATCATGGCCGACAACCCTGAGATTTGAAGATGACTACACACAGCATGTCTTCAGGTCCCTCTTCTCCTTGACCATCAAATCACACACACACAGGCCAAGAGACAAAACATAACTATTTTGCGTGGTCTTTCTCCTTCCTGCTTCACCTGATGCATAGGATTTTTGTGGTAAAACATGAGCTTTACAAGAATATGCAACAGAATTAGGGAACTCAGCGATCCAAAACCAGCTAAATGAGGGTTTTCTTTCTTTTTTTTTCTTCTTCTAATGTAAAGCAGTTCCAAGAAAAGTGAAGTCACGGCTTAGGGTGCTTATTTTCAGTTCTTAGAAAAAGAGCCAATTTCAAAAGGGAAGCAGCACGTCCCGAGCACACAGCCTGCCCTTGTCTGGCGAGGGTGCTTGCTGATAAACCAACTTTGATTTGGCACCAGAACACTGAAACCCCTACCCGAGATGCGATTTCATTTGGTGATGTCAAGAAGGAAACGCTAGCCGAAACAGTGAGAGTTATTAATATTCAGGGAAACCACAAGAGCTCAGCTAACATGCCGAGGTGGCACACTTCCAGCACGGAGCCGCTGGGAGCACTGGCCGTCCGCAGGGCTGTTGGAAAAACACAGGGCACCCTCCTTTGCCCACCTCCCACACTCCTGAGTTCGTTCTCTGCCCAGGCAGCAAGACCAGCCCAATTAGCAATTTTCAATGGGGCATTATTTACCAGAAGTTAGGGGAGGATAAACTAGGTAGAACATGGTGAAGGTTCTCAGCAGCTGGGCTCCATTTTCTAGCAGAAAAGCAGGTTTCAGATAAGGGGAACCGCAGTGTAAGGTCTTAAGGCACTTACCACACACCCAGCTCAGGGGCTACTTACTGGAAACTCCTTAATAATTTTGGAATAAAGCTTTAACCTAAGAATCCTAAAACTGAGGTCCCATGGACTACATCAGAATTAAATGTCAATGTAATCGAAAGCAGCTGATGGACTGTCCCAGCCAGCAGCAGCCTAAGGAGACACGCGGACTGAATGTAATGGAGTGTCCTGGATGGGATCCTGGAACAGAAAAAGGACACTAGGGGAAAAAAACAACAACAAAAAACTGGGGGAATCTACATTTAAAGTATATACTTTGGTTAATAATAACATTTCAATATTGGTTAATTGTAACAAATGTGCACTACTAATGTAAGATGTTAATAATAAAGGAAACTAGATGTGGTATATGGGTACTCGTTGTACTGTCTTTGCAATTTTTCTGTAGATCTAAAACTATTCTAAAAAACAGTATGTTTTTTAGGTTGGCCGGTATGGCTCAGTGGTTGAGTGTTGACCCATGCACCAGGAGGGCGCCAATTTGATTTCCGGTCAGGGCACATGCCCAGGTTGTGAGCCAAATCCCCAGTGGGGGACATGCAGGAGGTGGCCAATCGATGTTCTCTCTCATTGATGTTTCTGTCTCTCTCTCTCCCTCTCCCTTCCTCTCCCTAAAATCAATAAAGAAAAAGTTTTTAAATGCATATTCATTTATTCCTCACATCAGTGCTATGAGCTAGATATAATCTGCATCTTATACATGAGGAAATTAAAGCCCAGAGAGGTTAGGTAACTTGCTTACAGTCATACAAGTTTAAAGGGCTCATATTCAAGTCTACCAGGCTGCAAAGCTCCAGATATAGCTCAGTAACATTGCCTGAAAATCCCCAAACTCTGAACATAAGTCTCCTCAAAACAAGCTTCAAGTGGTCAACAAAGCCAGATTAGTAATAAAAACGATGCATTATTTCCAATTGGCCCACCTTTAAAAGAAAATGCTAGTTTTAAAATACAGTAAATCCAAAACAATGAAAATACCAAATGCTGGTGATGTAGAACAGAAACTCTGCTGTTGGGAAAGCAAAATGGTATAGTTCTTGGAAGACAGTGTTATAGAATGAATGTGTTCCCCCAAAATTCCTGTGTTGAAATGTGGGGGTTTCTGGGAGGTGCTTAGAGCATGAGGGCAAAGCCCTCATGAATGGGATCAGTGTCCTTGTAAGAGACCCCCAAGAGCTCCCTTCTCTCTTCTGCCATGTGAAGACACAGTGAGAGGACAGCCATCTGTGAACCAGGAAGCAGCACCTTTAAACTGTGAAAGATACATTTCAATAGTTTTTTAATTGATTTGAGAGAAACATCGATTGGCTGCCTCCCACATGCCCCCTAATGGGGATCAAGCCCAAAACCCTGACATGTGCCCTGACCAGGAATTGAACCAGTGACTTTTCAGTGTGTACAACAATACCCATCCAACTGAGCCACACCAGCCAGGTGTTTGTTATAGTAGCCCAAATGAACTGAGACAGTCTGGCAGTTTCTTACAAGGCTAAACACAGGCTTACATATGATCACCAGTTGTGCTCCTAGGCATTTACACCAAAAAGTTGAAAACATGTACACAAATGTTCATTGCAGCTCTATTAATAATTGCAAAAACTGGAATCAAATCAATGCCCTTCAGTAGGTAAATGGGTAAACAAAGCATGGTACATCCATACAATGGAGTATTATTCAGCAATGAAATGAAATCGGGCCCTGACTGGTGTGGCCCAGTTGGTTGGGCATTGTCCTGTGTATTGAAAGGTTGTTGGTTCAATTCCTGGTCAGGGCACATGTCTAGCTGCAGTCTCGATCCCCAGTAAGGGGCATGCAGGTGGCAGCCAATTGATGTGTTCTTCTCATATGTATGTTTCTCTCTCTCTCTCCCCTTCTCCAGAATCAATTTTAAAAATCATTAAAAAAAGAAATTGGTGTCAAGTTGCAAAAAGACATGGAGAAATGTTAAATGCATATCACTAAATGAAAGAAGCCAATCTGAAAATAAATTACATCCTGTGTGATTCCAACTATATGACATTCTGGAAAAGGCAAAACTAGAGATAGAAAAAAAATCAGTGGTTGTCAGGTGTGAGGGGGAGAAAGAGATGAACAGGCAGAGCACATAGGATTTTTAGGGCAGTGATACTATGTGGTGGAATACCATAATGGTAGATGTATAAAACTCATAGAACTGTATATCACAAAGAGTGACCTCTAATATAAATTACAGACTTTAGTTAATAATAATGTATCAATGTTGGCTCATCAATTATAACAAATGTATCTCACCAATGCAAGATGTGAATAATAAGAGAAACTGAGGAAGGGGATATACGGGAACTATGTACTTTTTGCTCCTTTTTTTTCTATAAATCTAATGATGCTTTAAAAATAGTCTATTTAAGAAAACATATAGGCAGCATATAAAACAATTTATTGGTGGTAGAAGATCAATAATCCAGCAACACTCCACAGCCATGTTGGATCAAAACCTGACTCCTTTGACATTTACAATCTCAGGGAAAGGGAGGGCTGGGTGAGAGGCAGAGAGCAGAAACCCAACATTTAATACAATCACAACAAAAAGTCATTCCATACTAACAATGTAATAACTCTGTACCAGGAGGACGCTCCCTTGCAGTATCTCACCAAAAGTTAAGAGGCAGAAGTTAGAAGTTGAGTTAATGCCCGAAAGTTGTCTCAATCAACCCTGGCTCTAGTTTCAACAAGAAATTTTGAGAGCATTTTAGCACGTCATCACCCACGTCTAAGGGAAATGGACCTGAAGGGTTGAATGGTGTTTGAAAGAGAGCTGTGTCTTTGAGAGGCTGTTTTACTGCTTGACTTGTAAACTGGATATGGAAGTTGTTGATGGAGAAGACGTGGGGTCATGATGTCACTCTTCTTTCACGAAGTCTACTTTCCTGCCCATAACCACACTTGAATCACCACAGGCAATGAATGAGATTCAAGTTTGCACCATAAAATAGGGTCACAGCGGTAACGGAAAAAGTATCATCACTAGTAAAACTTGAAAAATGCAAGATGAGATTTCTGTGCTCTTTAGAGAGAATTAACACACATAAACCAAAGCGGAGAGAGAGCAAGAACGAACACATCTGCTTTTCATCAGCAAACGGTCGTCAAAGCACAGGGGCAGCAAGGGCCGAGTTAACTGGAGTGTCCCGGTGTTTAGAAATCCTTCATCTGCACTCCTTGGTGAGCCAAAGCAAAGCTCTCTGAGGAACTTTTGAGAAAATACGCACTGAACAATGTCCGTGAAATCCACATGGTAGAAGAACCTAAGTCCTTTCAGAATTTCAGTTGTTTTTAATGACACTTTCAGAGTTATCTAAGGAATATTCCTGTGTAAATCTTCCACTTCCAGTGCCCACATGCTTTCATGGACAGGATTATCAGAAAGATCTGTCATCTTCACAGCCTGAAGGCATGGCTCAGGGCTACAGGCCTGAATCACTCCCATTACCATCACATATTTTCCTAGAAGAAAAAGAGGCTGAGGTAATGTTCATATTGGTAGAAAAAACAAAAACAAAACAGACCTAGTCCTTAGAGAGCTTAACTTTATCAGAGAGGCAAATTGAAGACTTTAAAGGAAAAATTACACACAGTAGAGATCAAAATGCCAAAGCAGTCAGTGATCAATATATGTATACTAACACTAAGTTCAACATTTAACCTGGAGCATGACATATGTATCTTCTTTGGTTTTTGGTTTTCAAGTGTTAAAAAAAAATTAGCAAGCTTCCATCTTGCACAAAACAATCATGCCCAAGGAATGAAAGAGATTCATATCAGAGTATGAATTATAGACTGCTCTCAGGAAGGGGCAGAAAACCCAAGCTTTTCTCTTGTCCTTGTTCCTTGCTCAATGCCACAGAGTATGCGACTGGTCTCAGTGCATGGGACCAGTCCCCTTTCTGCAAAGATACTCCCTAACAGCCCCAAACAAAGTTAATTTTCCCTCCATGAAGCCAAAAGAGCTGGCCAAGTTTAGCACCCCTTCACCCCCATCCTGTGCTGCCTCATTGTTCCAGCTGCTCAGGACCAATCCCTGCCACCTCCCACTTTATCCTGACCACTGGCTGGGTACACGTAAACAAATCAACAAGAGGGCAGGCTGCCATCTGGGTGATCTAAAGACATATTAACTGCGACTCTTCCCATTCCTGTGGGGAAGTGGCTCTCCTTGAAAGCAAAACTTGGCAGGTCTTAACCACACAAAACTCAATTGTGTAAAAAAAAAAAAAACCAAACACAGCAGGAAGGGCAGGCTCGCTGCCAGCCCCCACTGCATGCCCCTTGAAGGGCACTTTAATCACAATGCTTCCAACAGTAGGGCTGAGTTTGCACGCAGGCCTGGCGCTCTGACTGAAGGAAGTCAGACGAGCTGACACCTAACCCTCTGGTTTTCAACTCCTGGAAGGATGTACTTAGGTTTCTCTGAACTCATCTCCAGATTCTACTTAAGCAAGAATTGTGGGGTTCCTCAGTGGCAGAGGCCAGTTCTAAAAATACATTTGCTATACCCTCTGTGAATGGTCCTGAAGTGCTGGTAGAGATCGAACCTTCAAAAAAAGAATGACTACAGACCCAGGAAAGAAAGAACAAGCCGAAGGAGATCCCAACCAGAGGTTAGCGGGAGAATCACTATGAAGGCATCCACACTAGAGGGATGAGCTCAAAGGCATGCATGCTTTCCTCCTTGAGATCAGACAACCTGGCTACTAGTCCTGTTCATTCTACCCATTCCTTCTCCCCCACTGTCTCTCCTTCCCCTCCCTTTGGTCAGGCCTTCATCCTCAGGCCACTTCAATGGCTTCCAGCTACTTCCTCTTCACAATGATTCCTATCGCACCGCCTCAGTGACTTTTCTCAAATGCAGCTCCTGCCTCCAGAACCTCTGATCACAGTGCGGTCTAGGTCATTGTTTCTCCCCTCTAGCCCTGCAGAGTGGGCAAGTTCTGACTCAATTCTGCATATGCAGCACCTGACATTTATGGAAACAAACTGCTGGCTGCTCCAGAGAAGAAAGCAGTGGGAGTACAGCACTGATGTGATGAATATAGCTGAAGGCCACCTTGAACAGGCAAGTCCTTCCAGACAACTAGTTCAGCAGGATGGCAGCTCTCCCACCTTTCGCTGCTGCCCCACATTCTGCCTCGGGCCCTCTCTTACCTCCAAGCCTTTGCACATACTGTTCCACAGAGCTGGACAATCTCCTGCCTCAGATGGACACAGGGTGACGAACTGTTCTGGTTTTAAAACTGAAAGTCCCACAGCCCAGGACCCCCTCAGTCCTAGACAACCTGAGAGGGCTGGTCCCTACAGATAACTCCAATACATCCTTCAGGGTCACCTCCTCCAGTAAGCCTCCCCTGACCCTACAGGCCTAGACTGGTTGTGGCTCCTCTGATCCCTTGGCAACCTGTGCTCAAGCCTAGATATTACTTTGTGTTTTAACAGCCGGTTTACTTTCCTGGCTCCCTGCCTGAAGGCAGTAACTAGGCTGTCAATCAAGACTTGGTATTAATTAACAAGAGATAATGGTATGGCCCTTGCCAGCAGGCATTCAGGCAGTTGGTAAGTCAGGCAGGTTCACTAATGCTTGTAAGTTCAAATGCTAAGGTACCTCCTGATGCCAACCTCATGCCAAGGCTGGGACCAGACACAGGAAATACCACGCAGCTTGGGTTACATGCTAGGCCAAGGATCAGCAAACTTTTTCTGTAAGGGGCCAGATAGTAAAAACATTTCAGGCTTTCTAACCACTAGAGTCTGTAGTTGTATTTCAAAAACAGCCCTAGATATTACGTAAATGAATGTCGCACTAAAACCTTACAACAGAGACACTGACACTTCAATTTCATGTTTTTCACATCTCATGAAATAATACTCCTTTTGATTTTTTCAACCATTTGAAAATGTAAAAACCATTTTTAGTTTCTCAACCGTATGAAAAGAGGAGGCAGCCTGTAATTCCGACCTGTGCTAGACTACTGCTGCAGCAGGGGGCAGCGAGGGAGGGAGGCTGAACGACGGAAGGGGCAGGGGCAAGGAAGCAACAGGAGTATTTTATAGGAATGCACAATGGCCACAATTGTTTTGAACCCTCACTAGGAGCCAGGAGCTGTGGGAAAGCCCTTTATGTACTGAATCTATACAACAGGCAGAAAGAATGAGGCCCCTTTGATAGAGACAAGACAGGTCCAGAAAGGTTAAGGTAGGTGCTCCAGGTAGCTCAGCTGGAGAGGGGCAGAGCCAGGAATTCAACTTAATGCTGAAGATACAGCTGTGAGAAGGGGGCAGTCCTGACCTCTCCCGTGGTAGGCCGGCCCAGTGATTCTCAAAGCTTGACCCTAAGGCCAGCAGTACAACAGCTCAGAGGTGGTTAGAAAGGCAAATCTCAGCCGCACCCAGACCTACAGAAACAAAGCACGAGGGTGGAGCCCAGGCAGTTTTCACCAGTTTTCTGGGGGTGGGCCTTTCAAAGAGGCAAACTTGCCCTGGCTGGTTTGGCTCAGTGGTTAGAGCGTCAACCTTCGGTCCAGAGAGGCTGGTGTTTGGTTCCCGTTAAGGGCACGTACCTTGGTTGCAGTTTGTCCCTGACCCTGGTTGGATCGTGTGGTAGGTAGCCACTCAGTGTGTCCCTTTCACGTAGATGTTTCTCTCTCTCCCTCCCACTCTATCTGAACAAAAAAAAAAAAAGGAAAAATATCCTCGGGTGAAGATTAAAAAAAAAAAGAGGCAAACTTGCCCTGGCTGATGTGGCTCAGCAGTTAGAGCATTGGCCCAGGAACCAAAGAATCACTTTTCCATTTCCGATCAAGGACAAGTACCTGGGCTGCAGGTTCCAGCCCCAGCCCCAGCCAGGGCCCTGCAGGAGGCAACCAGTTGCTGTGCATCTCTCACATAGATATTTTTCCTTCTCCCCTTCCCTCCCACTCTATCTAAAAAAAAAAAAAATCAATGGGCAAATATCCTCAGGTGAGGATTAAAATAAATAAAAATAAAAGAGGCAACCTTGAGTGAACTACAGAATAAGCAGTTCAATGAAGGAGAGGTGCAAGTGGGCTCCCCATTTCTAGGGTCCCGGAGGGCTTCATGACGTTAAGGATAAACATGTTTTAGTTGAGTCTTTTCCAAAACTTGAAGAGGGATGGGAGGTGGCACCTATGGGAGGGAGGCTTGTTACACACACAAATGCTGGGCGGGGTGGGGTGGGGGGGTGTTTCCTTCCCTGGAGACTAGGACCAGGGTGTGTGTGTGCGGGGGAGGGGGTGTGCAGGGGTGTCCTAGGAACCTGCATTGTCTAAGTCTGGCTGCAGGTGATGCTTATCATCAGGTTGGCTCGGGCGACCCTTGCCTGGGGATGGAACAGGAAGGAAGGGTCCCGAGGCGGGGAACCGGCACTGGCAAAGGCCCGGAGGAGGGACGACCAGGCCCTGCCCTCTGGCTGCACAAAACTAGGGTCAGCCCCGTGTTCAACTCCGGCCATTACCTGGGGCGAGGCAGGGCCGCCCGCGCGGCACCCGCTCCAGGCCGCACACCGAGAAGGCCCCGCTCGGGTCCCGCAGCCGCGCCTCGCCGCCGCCCGCCTCCACCACCGTGCCCTGCATCCACACGGCCGTCAGCTCCAGCGGCTCGTGGCCCGCCGCCGCCCGAGACAGCCGCCACGCGCCCGGCCCGCCTTCCGTGTTGCGCCGCAGCTGCTCCGCCAGCACCTTGAGCGGCGGTGACGACGGCAGTCTCACCGCCGCCGGGCCGCCGCCAGAAAACGAGTGGCTCACCGCGGCCGCCGCCATGACGCTTTGCGGCCGCTTTCCCGCTAACTTTGATGGGCAGCGAGACCCGGCCCACGGGCACCAATTAGAAGCGAGCTGGTGGAGCCGGCCAATGGTCGATCAGAAGGCGGGACCTCCCGGTTGAGCGAACCTAAAAGCCGCAAGGAGTGCGCAGGCACTTGTAAATAAACGCCCCCAAACTAGGAATGAATGGATACAATGAATTTATAAAGAATAAACAGATGGAGGGAGGTAAAGAAACTGCTTAGCGCACCTCAGAATTTGGCGTGCATGAATATCACTTGGAGAACGTGAGTATTATTCATCTTTACATCGCCTTGTATAGGAGAGGAGTCTGAGATTAATAAATACTAGTAAATGTGTACTGAAAGGAATAGTAGCATGATGAGTCCATGTTTATTAGGAATGATCAAGAATGGAGTCAAGAGAAAAGGCTAAGAAGAGGGACAGGGACAGCTAGTAAAATTGCCCTTCCTTTCATTGCTATTTCTATTTATTATATTTTAATAACATTATAAAGTAAATTAAAAGTTAATTAATACATATATTACTATATTTCTCACAAAAGAAATGCACATTCATTGTAGAAAATTTAGAAAAGGAAATATAAACTAAGAAAAAATGATAAAAATCACTCAGATATATCCACTGTTAACATTTGGGTGTATTAACATCCAGGTTTTAAAACATACATTGGATACCCTGGTTGGTTTGGCTCAGTGGTTAGAAGGTTGGCCTACAGACCAAAGGGTCTGGGGTTTGATTCCCAGTCAAGGGCATGTACCTGGGTTGCAGGTTTGCTCCCTGGCCCCCCGCTGGGTTCATGTGGGAAGCAACCAGCTATGTGTCTCTCTCACATCAATATTTCTCTCTCTCTCCTCCCCTGCCCTTCTAGTCTGTCTAAATATCAATGGAAAAATATACTCTGGTGAGGATTAACAAAAAATAAATAAATAAATAAATAAATAAAAATACATATGGATATATAATTTTGATATTCAAATACCGTTTTGTATATAGGGTGTCTCCAAATGGTATATACAACTTTGAATAATTATAAAGCCAGTTTTTATTAAAATACATTTCATTTTCAAAATGCAGTAAATCTATAGACACCCTGTATACATTTTTTGGGACACACCGTATACATTTTTTGGGACACTATATATATATATATATGAGAGGAAGGGAAAGGGAGAGAAACACCAACGTGAGAAAGAAACATTGATAGGTTGCCTCCCGCATGCACACCAACCGGGGATCAAACCCACAACCTGGACATGTGACCTGACTAGAAATGGAACTGGAGACTTTTTGGTGCACTGGATGACACTCAGCCAACTGAGCGACACAAGACAGTGTTTTGTATATTGTTTTCACTTAATAATAAACATCTTTCCATGCTTCCTCTTGAATGACTGCATAATATTCTATTTGTATTATCACCCATCTAACCAGTATGCTAGAGTTGGACATTAAAGCTATTTCAAATTTTTCACTATAAAATTGCTACTGTGAACCTACTTAAAACTAAATCTTTGTGCACAGGTTTCAGATAAATTCCTAGAAATGAAAGTACTCCTTAAAAACTAGATGTCCCCACCCTGGCCAGTTTGGTTTAGCAGTTAAAGCGTTGGCCTCGCCCTGGCCGGTTTTGCTCAGCGGTTAGAGCATCGGCCTGCTGTCTGGAGAGACCCGGGTTTGATTCCCGCTAAGGGCATGTACCTCGGTTGCAGTTTGTCCCTGGCCCTGGTTGGTCGTGCGGGTGGCAGCCACTCGATGTGTCCCTTTCACATCGATGTTTCTCTCTCTCTTCCTCTCTCTCCCTCCCACTCTATCTGAACAAAAAAAAAAAAGCGTTGGCCTGCGGACCAGAGAGTCCTGGGTTCGGTTCCCGCTAAGGGCACGTACCTCAGTTGCGGTTTGTCCCCCGCCCCGGTTGGCGCCGTGTGGGTGGCGACCACATGATGTGTCTCTCTCACATTGATGTTTCTCTTTCTCTTCCTCCTGCTCTATCTGAAGAGAAATACCAAAAAATGTCCTCGAGTGAGGATTTAAAAAAAAAAATTAGATATCCCCAATCAGCAAAATCCACAAAATCCGAAACCAATCCTTAAAGTCACAAGACTAGTTCTTAGGAGACTGTACTTCAGGGCTTCCTACAATACCGGGCATACAGAGGGTATTCAGCAAGAGCTTGGTTTTTATAAAGCAGCTAAGACATATTAAACCATGCCCTGTCCTAGAGCTTTGCAGGGATTATCCATGGACCCCCACACCCTGTAAAGACTATGTTCCACACAGATGAAGAAATAGGCTTGGGGAAGCTGGGTGACTTGCCCATGACCTCTCTGGCAATAACCTCTGTGGGGCTCTGGCCTGAATACCTCAACCCAAAGCTGCAGAGTAACCAGGCTCCTGGTTTGAGAAGGGAGCAGGGACATTAACCAAGAAAGAATCCCACACCTTGACACCTGGTGTGTCCCCACTGGTCTTCCCCAAGGCACTTGAAGGCCAGAGAAGTGATGGGATAGGGAGCTGGGGTAGAGACTGAGGCTCCCAGGCCTCTTTGTCTGAGACTGGGAATATCCCACCATTCTCTCGGCCTTCAAATTTACGCACACGCGCGTGCGTGCACACACACACACACCTCTCAAGCCCCATGCCTTGTTGTTGGCAGAATAATCTTTCCAAAACACAAATCTGAGTATATCACTGCCTGGTTTATAACCTCCTGATGGTGTACTCCATGTACCTGGAAGGTGAGCATTCAGGCAGAGGTAACTGCACATGGAGGGCCCGGGGAGGAGAGGGAGAGAATGGGAATGTTGAGCAAACTGCCAGGATTTCCGAACAGCTGGGATGAAGAACGAAAATGGAGGTGTCCCCACATCACCTCATTACTTATCCCCATTTTCAGGTGACAAAACTGAGGTTCAGGCCAATGACAACCTTGAGGGGTACAGCCAGCACTAAAAGCCAACTCCATCTGACTCCGAACTTCATGCTTCTTGAACCACATGTGCCTTCTTACTGACCACGCTGTTGCTCGCCTCCCCCATCAAAGATTCCTCATACCTTTGCTCGTGCTGTGCTCTCCCTGACATGCCTTCCCCCCAGTCTCTCCCAGTTGAAACCTGGCTCTGCCATCAAGGGCCTGCCACCATCAAGACTGCTGCTCCTCAGGAAGCCACTATAGGTCCCTCCCTTCCGGACCAGTTTGCTGACACCACTAATCTAGGTGCCTCAGTCTTAGCCCTATGCCATTTGGGGCTGGCTAATTCTGTGCTGTGGGGCTGCTCTATGTGCATTTAGGATGTCGAGCCGCATCCCTGGCCTCTGCTCACCAGATGCCCTTAGCACCCTTCTCAAGTTGTGGCAACCCATGTGCTAATGTCCCCACAGGGCTAACTCACCCCTGGTGGAGAGCCATTGCCCTAATCGAGGATACTCCCTGCATTCTGTCTTGAACCACAAATACTTGAATCTGTGGTCCAGCTAGGCCAGGGGTCCAAACTCAGATGCCAACAGCAGCCAGGCAGGTAACCCTGGTGTAGTAGCGACAAACAGCAAAGAGGCCAATCACACTCAGCCAGTGGTTGCCACACTCAGCCAATTTGATTTTTCAATACATTTAATGTGTAATCTACATATTAAAAAAATTGTTGCCAGCCTGTTCAAGTCTAAGACAAACAAAGGCCGTGTGCCCCTGAAAGCCATCTGTGGGTGACTCTGGCCCAGGGGCAGGCAGTCTGCAAACTCGGTCCCTGGAATGCGAGCTCTTCTCCTGCTGCCTGGGCAGCTTGTGTGTTAACTAACGTGCAGCTCCTTGGAACCTTCTGAAAAAAATCCAAGGGGCTGCTGCATTTCACTAGCTCCCGGCGTTGCAAAATTGGAGTCTAAAATTATTGTGAGCACACAACTAGGGTGTGTTGACACATGCTGGGGAGACTCCTCTCCATGAAAAATGATCTCCCTCCCCACCCCCTACCCTCACTCTGAGCCTAAAACAACCCCCTGGGTCCTAGCTTCCAAGCGAGATCAAAGCCTGGAAAGGGGATTTCCTGCCACCAGAGGACAAAGGTAAGGCCAGGGGAATTCTGGGCCTTGGCCTCACACTCAAACTACCCATTCACCCTGGCAGGTAAGGTCTAAAATGCTCTGGTTGCCTGGAACAGAGACCAGACTCTACCACCCTAAGAACAGGGGTTTGTTCTGGAAAGATATACATGCAATGGTGTCTTCAAGATAGCAGCAGTTAGCAGAACATTTACTCTGTGCCCAGCACCATGCACAGTCTCACGACGACTTTAAGAAGAAAGTGCTTTTCTTAAGCCCATTTTATAGACAAAGAAATTGAGGCTTGAAGAGGTGATGGGACCTGCCCAAGTCCACACAGCTGGTAAGAGGTGGAGCCAGGGATTCTGACCCCCACCTGGAACAAAGGGTCCCTCTCGAGTATCTTTCCATAATCAGGCCCCCAGGCAAAGGGGACTCTTACCCACTATGCTGGGTCATCACCAGGGAAGAATTCCCTGGGAATTTTTTAAAAACAAAATACAGGTTCTATAAACACACACACACACACACACACACACACACACACAACTTGAAATTGAGTTAATGAGATACATGCCGAAGTATGCAGGGGGGTGGAAGGGTGTCTAAATGTCTGCAACTTTCTCTGAAGTGCAACAACTAGTGGGGTGGGTGAGGATGGGTGGATAGAGAAGACAGGTGGATAGAGATGTGATCAGGTGAATACACTTCACTGCAGAATCTAAACGGTGTGCTCCTCGGTGTTCACCACACAACTCTCAATACACAATGCCGGGGATGAGTCAGACCCTAATGTGATTCTGAGACCCAGCCTGCTTAGTTGTCGCTAATGCCCTCCCCCACCCAGTGAAAAGCAGGCTTCCTAGTCTCTCATTCATATTACATCACCAGGAGGTCACTGGACAAGCCAACACCTCTTGGCCTCTGGTGCCCCTTTTTCTTGACTCCAAGCAGACCAGGGGTCCTTTCCACAGGCCCCAGCCATGGAAACCGCAGGCCCAGGCCAGGTTGGGGGGAGTTGGAGTTACATCCCTCAATGACTCCTGGGTCCCCTGCACCAACGGTGATGCCTGCTCTTCCATGCACACCCAAGGTGACCAGCCCTACTTCTAGCTTTCTGGAGGAGCCCCTAAGCAAAACCCACATTTTGGAAGTAAGAACCATCCTTCCAGGCTAAGAATAACAACAGCAGCTGCTGCCGCCAGTACTACTACAGGCCATGTGTAGTGCCAGCTGCTCCATCTGTCTACTCATCTCATCCACAAACCCCTGCCGGACCTTTACAGAGGAGGAGACAGAGGCTCAAAAGGCACTAAGCCTACAGCAATCAAAGCCAGGTGGGTTTGCCATGCAGGATTCTGATGCAGGAAGGCTGTGGTGCAGGCCTGCGACCTATAGTCACCCCGACATTGTTATTGAAAGAGTTGTGCAGGGCCCACCATTTAGATTCTACATTGAGCCCAGCCAGTGTGGCTCAGTGGTTGGGCATCGACCCATGCATCAAGAGGTCGCCGGTTCAATTCCCGGTCAGGGCACATACCCAGGTTGTGGGCCAAATCCCTAGTGAGGGACATGCAAGAGGCGGCTAATCGATGTTCTCTCTCATCTATGTTTCTGTCTTTCTCTCTTCCTCTTCCTCTCTCTCTCTAAAATCAATAAAGAAAAAATATAGATTCTACAATGAACAATTTACTGACATTATTGCATCTCTATCCACCTGTCTTCCTCTCTATCCATCCATCAATCCACCGTACTTTTTGTTGCATTTCAGAGAAATAAGCTCCTATATCTCTGGCCAGTTGCTTTTTGATAAGGGCCGACAAGATCATTCAATGGGGAAAGAATAGTCTATTCAACAAATGGTGCTGGGACATCATGCAAAACATGGAAGCGGGACCCTCCTTCATGCCATATACAAAACAGATCCAAGACTCACCTGTAAAAGCTAACACTGTAAAACTCTTAGAAGAAAACATAGGGATAGATTTTCATGACTTTGGATGTGGCAATAGATTCTTAGAAATGACACCAAAAGCACGAGTAGCAACAGGAAAAATAAATTGGATTTCTTCAAAATTTAAAATATTTGCACACCCAAAGGACATTATAAAGAAAGTGAAAAGACAATCTACAGAAGGAGAGAAATATTTGCAAATCATCTATCTGGTGCAAGTCCAGCATCAAGAATATATAAAGAACACTTGCAACTCAACAACAAAAAGACAAACAACCAATTTAAAAATGAACAAAGGCTTAAATAGAATTTTTCCCCAAAAGGATATGCAAATGGCCAATAAGCACACGAAAATATGCTCAATATCATCAATTAGGGAAATGCAAAAAAATCACTAAGTTGAAATTTAAGCCTAGATCTGTCTGACTCCAGCGACCTGAGCTTCCTGAGTCTGTTCCCTTCCTCCTCTGACACTAGTTTGCACCTCTAAGGACCAGTCCAGGGAGCTGAAGCAGAGTCAGTTCTGTGGGTGGCATGGCAATGGTGGGGCTGGGAGATGAGAGTTTCAGTGAAACCCAAAAACTGGATGGTCCACATCCCTCCAACAAACAGTGCTGGTCTGTGTGGGGTCACTGATGGATCCAAGAACAATGCCTAGGACATAGTAGTTGTTCAATACATATCTGTTGAATGAATGAGTGGCAAGGTTAAGGCTTGGAAGGTTCCCTGGGAAGCTGGCAGATTGGCAAGTGGGTATACTGGGGGTAGCACCTGCCAGGTAGTGAGGGAAGCAGAAGTAGAGGGAGGAACCAAAGTGAGATGCTGCCCCACCAGAAGTTCTGGAGCTGGAAAAGCCCCGCGGAAGTATCCCACCTGCAGAAAGGGGGCTGGGCCTTTGCACTCCATGCTGGCCAGTCCTAGCAGGTTGGAGTGTGACTTGGGAGCATTCCCAGAGAGGTACTCAGCTGGGAGTCAACTACCAACTTTCCCAGCAGTTGAGGAGTGAGTGCCTCAGTCCAGAGGTACATCCCATCCAGGCACTCACCACAGTGCCCTGCAGCGGGCAGATGGTCTTATCCGTCCAGGCTGCTCAGTTTATCTCAGCTGCATTTTGTTCCCACCAACACACATTCATTCATTCAACAAGCATGTAACAGGCACCCACTCTATGGCAGGCATTGGGCAGACCCTGGGCTACAGAGACTTACAAGGCAGACCCAGCCCTTGCCCAAAAGGAGCAGCAATCAATTGGGGAGACAGACATAGACAGACACCATGAGGTCACCTCTCTGCTTTCATCTCTTCTCTCACCCTAACTCTCTCCATTCCAATCCCACTTGTCTCCCTGCTGTGGCTCAAATGTACCGGGCACCCTTCCGGCCTCAGGACCTTTGCACATATCAAGTCTTTAGAATCCACTGTGTATTTGACAGTGACAGCCCATCTCAACTCACACTAGCCACAGTTCAAGTGCTCAGTTACCCCATGTGGCTGTGGCTGCTGTGTTAGTGCATCTCTGAGTAGTGGAAAGTAGGACCCTCTCAGCTGCTGGCTACATGGCCCTGGGTACAACTTACCCACATTTTCCTCGACTTTTCAATAAACCACAAACTACTGAGGAGAAGATCTATGCTTTTCCCTATCTGTCGCTAGCAGATCTGTGAATGCTCTGACATCCCCAAACTGGAGACAACTCAAATATTATTCAGCAGGTGAATGGAGAAGCAAACTGTGGTACACCCCCGCTATGAAATACTACTCAGCAAGAAAAACGTTTGGACAACTGAGGAACGTGGCGACTTGGATGAATCTCAAGTACATTGTGTTGGGCAAAAGAAGCCAGGTTCAAAAGTTAACATACTGAAGGAGTCCATTTATATGACACTCTGCATCGGCTAAAGCTATATGGACAGAAGCAGAGCAGTGGCTGCCAGTGGCTGGGGGAGGCGAGGGGATGACTCCAAAGGGGCAGTGAGGAAGGAGCTTTTAGGGGTGATGGAATTACTGTGCGTCCTGGTTGTGGTGGTAGTCCCGTGAATTTCCTTCTACCTGTGTTAAAATTCATAGCAGTGTACACACACACACACACACACACACAGCAGAATCCCAGCCCCACGCTACTTGACTCCATGTACATGGCAACAGGCTGTCTATTGTCACCAGCTGTGGCTCAGCCAGAAAACACCATTTCCTCTTCTGGGGGCTCAGCCTAGAGACCCAAGAAGGTACAACAGCGGGTAAGTTCATGTTTAAAGTGTACCGGGGAGTGGGGAGTGGCTGCTTAATGGGTACAGTGTCTCCTCTTGGGCTGATGAAAATGCTTTGGAACTAGATAGAAGTGGGCTGTACACTTTTAAATGGTTAATGTGTGCATTTCACTTTTATTTTATTATCATTATTTTTGTTGGTTGTTAATCCTCACCCAAGGATATTTTCCCACTGATTTTCAGATAGAGTGGAAAGAAAGGAGAGAGGGAGAGAGAAACATCGACATGAGAGAGACGCATCGAATGGTTGCCTCCCACACAACCCTGACTGGGGTGGGGATTGACCCTGCAACCCAGGTATGTGCCCTGGTCAGGAATTGAACCTGAGACCCTTTGGTCCAAGGCCCAACACTCTAACCACTGAGCCAAACCAGCCAGGGCTTACCTTTATTTTTAAAAAAAGGTTCAAACCAGCCCTGGCCCATTTGGCTCAGCAGTTTGAGAAAAAAAAAAAAATTCAAACCAGAAAAAAATGTATCCAGGGATAACTGTGTCCTAAACTTACATACAAGGAACCCAGAACGCAGAGAGGTTAAGTAGCTTACCCAAGGCCACACAGCCAATAGGAGGCAGAGCCTGAATCAGTCCGTCTCCAAAGCTTGAGTCCTTTCCACTGGACATACGTGATAAAATATCATTCTGAAAAGTAACTGGCTATTACCTGGAGGCTCTGGCCAACTGTTCCTTCTGTGCCGTAAAGGACCTCGGATCTGTGTATGTGTGATTTCTAAGAACAGCTGTTCCAGCCCTGGCCAGTTTGGCCCAGCGGTTAGAGCCTCGGCCCGCAGACCAAAGAGTCTCGTGTTGGATTCCGGTCAAGGGCACGTACCTTGGTTTCGATTCGGTCCCCGGCTCCAGTGGGGGTCATGCGGGAGGTAAGCAGTCGACGTGTCTCTCTCACATCCATGGTTCTCTCTTTCTCTCTCCCCCACCCCCCACTCTGTCCGAAGAGAAATGGAAAAATATTCTCGGGTGAGGATTAGAGAAAAAGAGCAGCTTTTCCAAACCGAAACTGGGGACAGAGTCCAGTCCAGGATTCCTTTCCCCTGAGGTCTGACCTGATTTTATCTTCAGGGGTATAAACAAGAACACTGGGGCAATATGTGGTACCTGTAATGGACCCCTTTTCCTGAAATGATGACAGCTCTGAGAAAGTGGAACTGTTCTAGAAATTTGAGACTGAGCATCACTGTGCATGTTTGCACAGAAAAAATAACCACAAAGAACCCTTTGAGCAAGGCAGTGAATAGGAGTGCCTATTTCATGGGCAGGACAGAAAGGTGGGGGACACGAGGCATTGAAACAGCCCCCCAAAGGCAGCAGGTGCATTCTTCTGGTAGGTTTCAGGTGGGTTTAGGCGGGGAGGCAGAGGGATGGACATGATGACCACCTGTCAAAGCCTAAAGCTGTTTCTCCAAACCAGACTGCCTCACCTGCCAGAAAGAGGTAGTTTCTTTCCTTTCTTTCTTTCTTTTTTTTTTTTTTATTCTCACTCGACATTTTTCCATTTTTTGTTCAGATAGAGTGGGAGGAAGAGAGAGAGAGAGAAACATTGATGTGAAAGGGACACATCGAGTGGCTGCCACCTGCACGACCCAACCAGGGCCGGGGACAAACTGCAACCGAGGTACATGCCCTTAGCGGGAACCGAACCCAGGTCTCTCTGGACCGCAGGCTGATGCTCTAACCACTGAGAAAACCAGCTAGGGCTTAATTATTTTATTTTATTTTATTTTAAAGAGAGAGAGAGGAAGGGAGAAAGAGAGAGAGAAACATCGATGAGAGAGAACATCAATTGGCTGCCTCCTGCATGCCCCCCACTGGGGATTGGGTCCACAACCTGGGTGTGTGCCCTGACCCGGGAATCGTACCGGCGACCTCTTGGTGCACGGGTCAATGCTCAGCCGCTGAGCCACATGGGTTGGATGTGAAAGAGGTAGTTTCTTAAGTGCCCTGGAGTTGTTTGCCTGGGGGTGAGCGGGGCATGACTCTCATGGTAGGTTCGCTGAGGCATGCAGCGCTGCTGCCCAGGCTCTGTCGCCCGAAGGTCTCAAAAAACCTCAGCCTTGCAAAACAGACACTCTTGAGTGAACCCAGCTGGAGACGAGGCACATGTGAGTCAACTCTAAGAGGTCTTAACAAAAGGCTGCATTAGGGCAACCGTTGGTTGGAGTGTCGTTCTGTCCACCAAAAAAAGGTTGCAGGTTCAATCCCTGGTCAGAGCACATAACTAGATTGTGGATTCAATCTCTGGTCAGGGCACATAGCTAGGTTGCTGGTTCGATCCCCAGTCGGGGCAAGTGTGGGGGGCAACTGATGGATGTTTCTCTTTCATATCGATGTTTCTCTCCCTCTCTCTCTCTCTATTCTTCTCTCTAAAATCAATAAAAACATATCCTTGGGTGAGGATTTTTTTTAAAAGGCTGCATTAGGGTGCCACAAGAGGCTGGGCTGGGAGACAGAGTTTGCATGAGCTTGGAGCTGGGCTCTGGTTACCAGCACACCCCCCCACAGTTCTTGGGGACCTGTGGGCAGAGGCCAGCTGTAGAGGGGCTGAGCAGTTAGCCAGGAAGCTCGCAGGAGGGCCCTTGTGCCCAGGCATGAGGACAGGGGAATAGAGGAAGCTGGAGAGAACCAGGCTCCAGGAGGGGTGGCTGGGGGGAGGCCTTGGATGAGGGGCAAAGAATCCCTGCTGTGTGATAATGTTATCTCTGAGCCACACCATCACCCTGCCAGGGAGTGCGATGTGGCCCCATTTTACAGAGAGAAAGACTAAGTCTGATCTTTTATTCATTTCTTCTTTCAAGAAGTACTTACTGAACACCTGTTCTGTGCCAGTGGTACAGTAGCGTATAAAGCAGACAAAGATCCTGATTTTATGAAGTTTGGTGAGGGGCAAAGAGAGAGACAGAGACTGTTTTGGATGATGTGTATGCACATAAAAGAAATAAACCGATTGAATCTTTATCTGGAGAGACTGTCAGCTGGCAGTGCTTGGTCTGAGACCTGAACGATGAGAAGGAGCCAGTGATGCAGGGAAGGTCATCCAGTCAGAGGAAACAGCACATGCAAAGGCCCTGGGGTGGGAACGACCCTGTGTGTTTGAGGAACAGAAAGCATAGTGGGGGTGCATGTAGTGAGTGACAGGGTAGTGAGAGGTAAGGTCCTGAGGTGGGGCGGCGGTGATCAGGCAGACTCACACTTTGTTCTAAATGCAACAGCGCCCAGCCAGTGCCCAGAATGTGGGCCCCATCCCCAGTGGGGGCCATGCAGGAGGCGGCCAATCGATGTTCTCTCTCATCGATGTTTCTATCTCTCTCTCCCTCTCCCTTCCCCTCTCTCTAAAATCAGTAAAGAAAAAAAAAATTAAATGTGCCCTGGCCAGTTTGGCTCAGCGGTTGAGCGTCAGCCTGTGGACCAGAGTCACGCGTTCGGTTCCCGCTAGGGGCACGTACCACCAAAAAAAAAATTAATTAATTAAATGCAACAGGGATGAGAGAGAGAGACTGTTTTCATTCTGAGTAGATGCTATGCAGAAAATGGACTGTGGGGGCAGAGAAACAGGGAGACCAGCCCAGAGGCTTTGACTGCAGTAACTGGAGACAGCCGAGGCTTGGAGCAGGGTGGTATTGGGCAGATGAAGACGAGTGGCTGGTTTCGGCCCCCGCCCCCACCGTGGCCTAATAAGGGGTGACAAAGAGGAGTCAAGGATGATGCTTGGTTTGGGGTCTGAGTGACCAGGTGGATGCAGGTACCCTCGACTGAGACCTGCATGATTTGAGCAAGTCACCCAGCCGGGAGCTGACTATCCCTGCTTCTCCCTGGAACTCACCCCGCAGGGAAGCGCGGTGTGCTCACGCCAGCAGGCCGGGGCCTCTGCGTGCCGAGTCCTCTCCAGCTCACACGGCTCCCCTGCTGGAGCTCTTCCCCCCTCTCCCCTGACGTGCCGGCCCGGCCCACCTCCACACCTCTGCTTAACAGGACTCAATTCCCTCTGCAAGAGGAGATTGAAAATACAACTGACGAGCACATGGGGGTAGCTGTAGGGTTAAGGAAGGAGCTCTCATTTAGCTTCTGGGACATAAGAAAGGTCAACAACCAGTGTCATTTCCCAATGGAACAGAAACGTGTGGGGAAGCAAGCACTCCCTGATATTTCTGTGTGCTAGCTCAGGGAAGCACACGGGGGTGTATGGCAAGGCTGAGCCCACCACAGGACTGTCCCACTCGTGATCCAGTCTCCAAGGTCTCACCCGATGGACCCATGAGACTACCTGGTGCAGTTCATCCTGCTCCCTGCAGAGGACTTCCCTCCTGATGTTAGAGGAGGGGAAACAGAGGCCCAGCCCCCACAGCTGCATATGCTGTGGGTAGATTCCTCCATGAGTCTTTCTCTCTGGCCAGTTGGGCTGTGGTGACCCCTGAGACAGGTCCCCAAGATGCACCCACATTTCCCGAGGCAGCTCTGCCCTCGACAGCCCCAAAAGTGCATGGCCACAGATGTCACAGCCCCTGCAGCTGGCAGTGACCAGATGTCTTGCCTTCATTTACATCCCCACCACCCTCTGCAGCCAGAGGAGCAGAGGAGCGAGAAGAGGAAGCCACAGGGCAGACCAAGCCTGGTCACAGTGCCCGCCACAGTTGTGCAGTCTGTCTGCTGGGAACTAGGCCGTGAGATTTACGGGAATCAGGGCTCCTGAGCAGCACTGAATGTGAAAGCAAAACTCACACGTGCACACACAAGGAAGTACACAGAGGTACTTGTGTGTGTACACACGCATACACATATATAGGTACATGCACAGATGCCCACAGGCACACACATACACACACAAGGCACATAGCTCCTCTCCCTGCAACTCCCCTTCCCAAATGGCCCACTCTCACCCCCCTAACCACCAGGAAGCAACCCCCAGCAACCGCAGCCGACGAGGAGGGAGGGAGACCCGGACTGGGGTTCTGACTCTGTCTCTGCTGGCTTGGCGCCTTCTGTAAAGGATTTAACCTCTCTGAACCTTGGCTTCCCTCATTACTGAAGTGGAGATCATTGCCTGACAGTATGGCTCAGTGGTTGAGCACCAAGAGGTCACTGGTTCTATTCCCAGTCAGGGCACATGCTCGGGTTGTGGCTTGTTCCCCGGTAGGGGGCGTGCAGGAGGCGGCCAATCAATGTTTCTCATTGAAGTTTCTATCTCGCTCTCCCTCTCCCTCTTTCCCTTTCTCTTTAAAAATCAATTAAAAATAATAATAATAAACTATTTAAAATTTAAAAAAATAATAAAGTGGAGATTATTATAACCATAATACAGTGATACCTCGGTTCTCGAACACCTTGACTTTCGACCAAATCGGTATTCGACCAGGAGATTCGAGAAACTTTTG